TCCGTACACATCAACACTACACCCTCCATACACTAACACACCCCCTTATCCCTTGACTTCGCATTGCATATGACCCAGCATATCTCAACATGTCCATCTGCACCCGTAAACGGGACTTAGCCTATCTCCTATTTTTCGTCACCCATGTCCCGATCATTCTCCGTATGATTCTCTATCTTGCTACCTTGATAATAGCCTCACATATGCATGCACACACTAACACCCAACATAGTAATCGACACAGTCCCCCTCCTACCAGCCTTCCTCCAAACAAACCTCTCCCACCAACTGCGCGAGTTCTACATCACAACCTACCGCGACAAATTATTCGAAGATCCCCCAGCATGGTTCACCGTCTTCATCTGGATGGAGCTGCTGTACCACCTCCCACTCTCCATATGGGCTACTCGAGGTTTGCTTAAAGGTATTTTTTTTAAATCTCCTTTTTCCTCAGCTCGTGCTCGTACATCGTACATGTTCCTATGTATATCCTTGTATCCTGGTCTATCCAGTTCAGTCCATCCCCCTACATCACATCATTCATTACATATCTATATCAAATGCAATATCTGGAAATCTGACTACAACATACATACCTACACACACTCTTCTCCCCGAATAGGGAATCACATCCCCAAAAAACAAAAACAAAAAACAAAAAAACAAAAAAACGCAATAAGCACCCAACTAACATCATTTCCAATTCATCTAGATCACCCCGTCGTCCCCGTACACCTCCTCGTCTTCGGTATCCAGGCCTTTATCACCACTCTGACATCTCTGGTGGTTGTGTGGAGTTGGACTGACCGCTCGGTCGCCGAGAAGCAGCAGCTTACCATGCTGTATGCTCCCTATATGGCGTTAGGTATGTACAGCCCAAAGGCGATCTGATAGAATGTCCCAATTGGTTACTAACACATGATAGGCGGATTCATGGCTCTAGACATGGTATCCCGTCTACGCGACAAACTAATGCCGAAAAGCAAGCGGGAATAAACAGCATACCTAGACACTTACAGTACATGTAGACAATCAACAAAACAATCTATTATAATGCACCCAGCGTTATAATCGTACACATCATTACGTGCTTTGATCAAATCTCGCTAATACAAGTCCCCCGTCCCGACCAAAACGCCCTTGAATGTACATGCAGAAAGCGGAAAGTCATATAGATCAAATCAAAAACCCGATTGCCCCCTCCAAGTCTCCATGTGCCATATCCAGAGCCCGGACGGCTTCATCGCGCGAGAATCCCAACTCTGTGATTCTGGCAATGGAGTCTTGCGGCCACCGCGAAGTAGGTGCAGGCCGGATATTGATTCTCGGCTGTGACCCGGAGGCGGAGGCGTTATTGGGAGTGGCATTGGCATTGGCGTTGTTCTCCGCTTTGTGCGTGACCGCGCCGGTGCGGGCACCCACCTCAGCACCATCGGCGCCCTTGACTGTGGGTTCGGCTTCGAACTCTTCGGTCAAGTGCTTGGGGATATCGCCCTCACCGAGGAAAGGGACCGCCTGATCCTGAATGACGAGGGCGCCGCGCTGGAGATCAATGCAGGCTTGGTGGCGGCGGAGCATGTCCAATCCCAGGAGCAGGTCGATCTGCTTGCCTTCCATGACGGTGAAGGAGCAGGGCAGGAACATCTCGCCGATCTTGATCTGGGCGGAGTGAACCCGGCCCAGAATCGGGGCGGTTCCGACACCCTTGGCGATACCGCCGTAGCGACGGTCTACCAGTCGCATTATGTTACACGAGGTTGCACACTCGGGCGACATGATGGTTACCTGAGCGCCGGAGTCGACGAAGGCGTTTAGACGGTGGCCGTTTACTTCGACGGGGATGTAGAGCATTGTCACGCGACCGAAGGCTAGAGAAACAGATTTGGTTAGCTTTTTGGTTCATCCTCAATCCAGCAGCCTTGCAGGCAAGTTCGAGGACTTAAAGCATACACTCAGGATGATGCTCCATGGCATTATGTAGATTTTCCGTAACCGCATTCTGGCGAATAATCTCCTCAATTTCTTTCTGGTTATCATGGTTGAAAGGATCGGCATTGAGCATGGCAATGCGAGCTTCCTTTTCCGCCTCCCGCTGCGCCTCACCCTGTTGCTGCCTAAGCAGGACCTCACGGAAGCGCTGAGCATTATCTGCGGCTTCAGATAGCTCTGGGTTCTGCCTGCGCACGGCCTCGCGCACGCGGGGATCACCCAGGATATGTAAACGAATAGTTTCTGGGTCCGGCATGCCGGGGCGGGGTTGAGTATTTTGTCTGGGTGCGACGGAGCTGGAAGCGGCGGGGCGAGTGGCTTGGGGTTGGGGAGCTCGGAGGGTGACGTGCACACCGAGCATGTCGCCCTCAGTGATGCCGGCTTGGTCTAGGGTTTGGGTAGGGTTCTGGAGGAGCTGGTTGTTGTAGACGAGCTGTTGGGCTTCAGGTGGGATGGTAGTATCGCTTTCGATAATGTCTTTGAGGAGCGAGATTGACATATCACCGCCTACTTCTAGGTTGATGATGTCCGAATCTGCCTGCTCGGGGCGGATGACGTTGACGGTGATACGCATGGTATCGGGTAGCAGGGATGTCTGCTAGTAAGGGGAATAGAGAGCAGGTAAAATGATAAGAGGAAAATGAGCAGAAAGAAAGATGAGAGAATCCGAGCGAAGTAGAAAGAGACCGGGAGAGGAAAGACTAATAAAGCGGGAAGGGGACACCTGACTCTTATGAGCTTCTCTCTTCTCCAAGGTTCTCCCTTACATCCACTCTATTTCTTTCACTTTCTGTCAAATCACAAATGTGATGGACTTTTGATTCCGACTCTAGTGCTGCAGCTAACATGATCTCGTACATCCATGATCTTCTCCCACCTATCGTATATGCGCAATGAGCCCCGCGCTGAACCGTTTAGCTCCTCCACTAACTGCCCCATGCTCCCCCCCAAAACAGGCTAACAGCTGACGGGTCCTTATCCGCGTCATCGGCGGGGGGCAGAGAGAGAGAGAGCCTCGGAAAATCGCTGGATATAGAAGTTGCGCCTTGAATTTGCCTTGTTTTCTCTGAGTCTACGGTCATGTCCAATATCCCACAATCCCCCGAGTATTCGGTTCCCAGCACCAATGGCTTCACAGGTACTTTGCCAATCTACTACGGAGTACAGCGGGGCTACCTAGTCCACAGGACTGTCCGAGAGCCCCGAGGCTGGACCAGTTACTCCAAAAGTACGTCGTTTCGTGTCCGTTGTCCTACCAGACCAGCCCCGAGCCAGACCCCAAGCTATTAGAAGATGTCGCAGTTGTTGCGATAAACCGGCCCACCCCCGCACTAGCCGACACATGCAGGGGACTTTAGCCATGCTTTGAGGTTGTCAAATGCAGCTCTGTTGAGCATGGATTTGTCCTTGGTATAAACGTTGCAACAGATGTAAACACATATAGCGACGAGGCGCAAGTCAGGCGTTCAAATGGTTGGAGGACAACCAACCGATTAAAGAGGTTCCCGACTATCACGTAGGTGACCGTTTTTGAGATAACCGTTTCTAGAGCCGTGCATTAGTGCTAATGTTTCAGATTGGCTCCATTAACCCCAACGCCCGTGGATCAGGCATGGCGCCGATTCGGGATTTCTTAGGGCGATTTCTGAAATTCTGTTATAGGTCGACTTTTAGGCCCCCATTTGCATTTTATGTTCATAATCTCCGACTAACCGCGACAAGCAGGGATATAAGAACAAAGAGACACGGCTCGGCTTAATGTGGTCATCCTTCATCACCCTGAAAACTAGCCAGCGCGTATCTTCGCTATGGTGCAGTTTAACTGGACGTTGTGACTAAACGTCGTGACCACGATGTGCAGATATTGCCCCCGGTAGTGCAGATAACCCGAATGCGCCGATGAACGCTGTTGTCTGTTTGAATTCGTACCCAAACATGCAGAGCAGATCCTGCAGGATTTCTACGTGTCTACCCGGATTTCCTTGGATTGGTCGTCGACTTGCTTTGCCCTTTCAATACACAGGTGCAATTTGACTTATATCAAGCTGCATGCTATCCATGTGCATAGCCGAGGGAACACTGGGGACCCCCGACCCCACTAACCACCTTGGCGTCGATCAATTCGTCGATAGGAATCTAGCCCGGTCGAGAGAGACAACATTCAATACTCACTGGGCTACTTGGCATACTACGTGACTGAAATCAGCATCATCTCTACCAGGTCACTGTCACCGAATCTCCCTTCAAAGTGCAAGTTGTCGTTTATAGGGTGGCATGTAGGCGAGCGACGGTGTTGTCTAGGCCAGTAGGGTTGAGGAGCGGTCCACGCTGCCCAGGTGGCTTTCGTCGCCGCAGTGGTGCACGTCGTAGTCGACGAAGAGGGAGTGGGTCACAGCTGAAGTTATTTTTGGAGAGTTACGTATGCAGGTACCGACGTTGGGAATAGGGAGTATCGAGGATTGTGAGGGATCTATAGTATTTAGTAGAGCATACAACACATTGTAGGTAAACATTCAAATAATTAGAACTGTCTGCATCTCCCATATGACCCACGTATTCCGAAGTACTTTTGTAGTGAAGTTCCCGTGCATAATTTACCATCTTTCTAGTTTAAATTCTTCTTGATCGAAAGTGACATAGAAGACTCCGAGAAGGAGGTTGGTGGGTAGTCCGATTGAAAATGATATACTACCACCTGTTACGCTGGAAGTGACTGGGAAGAGATGGTCTATTCACCTATCAAGAAAGATGATTTGAGAATGTTCCTAAACAGGCTATTAGACCATTTGATCCCACATACTACTAGGTCGGGTGATCTATACTGCTTGCAAGGTAGAACAGGGAAAATGGAGAGTAAACCGGAAAATCATATCATAATCATTCATAACGTCGTCTTACTATAATGGTGTATAGTAAGAAATTCTAGGCCGAGAAACTATAGACTAAAAAAAAAGCTTCTATCCCTGTGAACCACAAAGAAAAACCAACACGAAAACTCCTTATTCCCACTGCTAGCGAGCAGCGATACTTGGGAAGAACCGCGGACCAGCATACCCATGGGCGATGATGCTTTCGATATCAATATTCCCGTGGGCTCGCGGGCTCCACAGCTTAATGAGAATGAACCGACCAGATCTTAAGACGTCAGTAACCTTTTATCCATATCCAATACTGATGATACATACGGAGGCGGATCAAATTTGATGGTAACCATGCTCTTCTCTCGCTCGATAAAGAAACGTGCATGTGGCTTCAAAACTTCGGCAGTTAGGTGAGTAGGCTCGGCCAGGGGGTTTGGATGCACGAGACTTGGGGTATGGCGCAGTCTCGGTTCGCTGATACGATTGAGAGCACTCAGCCGTTCTGGTTCAACTTGTCGGCGACGCTGATTCCTGCTTGGAGGGTCCTCCTCATCGCTTGGACTCTCGTCGGTGTCCGATAACGGATCTTCCATCTGTTCGGCCTGGGTTCTCTCGAGCAATGCAGAGCGCCAGTCTCCGTCATCCCCAGAATCCTCGTTGTTCTCGTCGTACTCGGTGGTGATGCGGAACTGCGCTTGCGGGTCTTCTGCGGTATGCGGAACCGCGGCTGAATGTGGGCTCATGAGGACTGTGCGTTCGAGGTTTTGGAGTGGCGGTCGGAACCCAGTGAGGTATTCTTGGGATGGTTGCATGCCACTGCGGCGGCCACTGCGCCGGTATCGGCCGCCGGAGTATTGAATCTGGTATTGGGCGGTGCGGGCAAGCAGTTCATCAGAGGTCATGGCGACGAAGACCATGCCTTCTTGTATTCTGGTTCGATTAGCCATAATTAGCCATCAGTCCAACGCACAGATACGCCTGGTGGACATACGGAGCATCGAACCCGCATTGAGGGGCTCTGATAACGATCTTCTTCAAACAGAATGGGGCCTCCCCTCGATGACAGAGGACCAAGTTGCACCGGGCCTCTTTGGTAGAGTAGACACTTGTATTATTTTCCAAAACGTTCTCCGGGCGCGAATACCCGCTGTCCGGATCGTAGCTTCCTCCGTCGCAGCTGGCGATTTCCATTTGCAGCATTCCCGGCACCACTTGTCCATATTGACCGTAGTTGAAGCCCTGGAATTCCTCGCGGTTATCGTCGGTGTCCAGCTTCCGACGCTTCATCCGTCCTTGGCCATCACGGCCCGACTGGCCAGATGGTGGCATGAGGGACGGTGATCTGGATAAAGATCCGTTCGGGCTCGATGGTCTGAGCGTTTGCCAGGGCAAACGATGGCGAAGGGAATTTGTCTCCGGTGAGAGCGAAGTTCGAGCTCGTTCTGAGCGAAACTGGTCACGCCAAATGCTCCGAATTCGCTCTGCGGTGCCAGCTGTCTCGGAGTGCAGTTGTTGGATCTGGTGATCGACGTCGGCCCGGACTTGCTCAGAGTTGGTACGACCACGAGATCGGTCCAGAGAATGCTCAGCAACTTCTCGGTTTAATGTTTCCAAGGCAAGGGCGGTGTTGTAGGTATTATGGGCACCGGAGCGGTTTCGTTCCGATACGAAATTGCGGAGATGCTGGAGACGGAGGATCTCTGGGCGTTCGTCAGGCCTGGTAGTACGGGATGTGCGGCGGGACGAAGAGGAAGAAGCACGAGGGTAATCGTAATTCCCCGACTAAAGGGAGGCGTAAGACATAAGTCAGACGCATAGGAGCCACGAGAGACATACCATCATTTAGGCTCGTTGGTACCGGAGAGGGTGTGGAGTTACCTATGTCGGGTTAGGGGTTAGGGGGGGTAAGGAATACCATCAAGGTATTAACCCGAAAGAAATAAAATAATCCAAAAAGATTTAACGTAGAAGTAAAAGAAGAAGCCCTACAGAGAGTTGTCAACCTTGTGAGTTGCCCAAGGTTGATAACACGTGATGGCCGATTAGATCATCGATAGTGGAGTGAAGGTTGGAAGGTTGGAAGTTTGAGAGGTCGGGAGTTGCAACTTCGTTGATTTCATGGATTTCACAGATTTCACAGATTTCATTGATCTCCCTGTTTTCATTCTGCACTTCGTTTTTCATGTAAACTCCATCGGACGTGGGCTGATAGCTAATTGTGTCACTTAGCTCACTCTTTGACCAGAACCACAAAAGTGGCCTCTGGAATGTTTATCAATATCCCTTTTGGGTGCAACAAAGAATTTCCAATCTCATCTAACAGAGATGATGGCATCTTTCACTTTGATTGATGCTCAAACCCCTATAACATGGAAACATGAGGGAAGTTCTGCAGAAATGGTCGACGGTATTGTAGTAGATTATTCGTTGAAAGAAGTTGGGATACACGAATATACACCTTTATATTATTTGCTAATTGGGTCGTGTGTTAGGCAAATCTCTACCATGTTGACTTGATCTATAGCTTATATACTAGTGATCTATGAAATCTTGAAATAACATACACACAGACCACTTATTTTGTTTATATTATATTGAGAATTTCTGCTAATTTTTCCAAATTTCCCATCTAACTAGAATATTCTATATTAGATGAATAGATTGTAAATCAATGAGGTATGCTTGTCAGCATCAGGTTTGTATACTTCTATGTCCCCACGGCCCCACACCGTAGCTCCCGGGTCACCTGACATTTAAACCTATCTGAACTTCCTGGACTGCTTGACCTTCAGGAACCTCTGGAACTTCTAAACTTCCATTCACAACTTCGTAACTCCTACTTTCATTGCACCTCTCCTGAATTTACTGATTCAATACTTCTCGCTCGATATCAAATCCCCTACACACAACTGCGGGGCTTCAAGTCGCCAAGCTCACACCAGGTACTCTTATCTCAACCACTTGATCAACCCATGGACACTATGGCGGAGCAACAAGACAACGCACAGTCAATCAGCGCTGGTATGACCAGCCAGTAGAATCTGATCCAATTCCTACTAACTTTGCTAGATGAAATCGCGCTGTACGACCGACAGATCCGGCTGTGGGGAGTGCATGCGCAAGAAAAGTGAGAAAACCAGCTTCCAAAACACCCACATATTCTAACAACAGCTAGGATCCGGTCGGCCAACATCCTCCTTATCACCGTGAAAGCTTTAGCGAATGAAGTGGCCAAAAACCTCGTCCTAGCGGGCATCGGCTCACTCACCATAATCGACCATCAGGACGTCACGGAGGAGGACCTAGGCGCGCAGTTCTTCATTGCTGAAGCACAAAGTGAGCAGGATGTGATCGGAAAGAACGTGAGCTACAACCAGAGCAGAGTAACCACCGCCATTCACTAACAATCCACCCCAGCGCGCACAAGTCGCAGGGCCGCAAATCCACAAAATGAACCCTCGAGTCAAGCTCAACATCGACACCTCCGATGTCAAAACCAAACAGCCCGACTTCTTCGCGCAATTCGACATCACAATCGCCACAGAGCTCGACTTCGTAACCAACACCACCGTGAACGCCGCCTGCCGATTAGCCAACCGACCCTTCTACGCCGCCGGTCTACACGGCTTCTACGGCTACGTTTTCGCCGACCTGATCAGCCATGACTTCGTGATCGAGCGCAACAAATCAAACATGGCCCCTATCACCCAAGAAACACCCACCCGCAGCATTATCGGCATCACCACCAAGACAGAAGAAAGTAACGCCAACAAGAAAGAACCAAACAAGATCGTCGAGCTAGTCACCAAGCGCGAGGTGTACTCACCCCTGATCCTGGCAAACACCTCCCCATTGCCGGAAGAATACACACGACTCGCACGGCGTCGCAAGCAAGTCACCCCACTGCTCAGCTGCTTGCGCGCGCTGTGGGAATTCGAAAAACTACGCGGCCACCGCCCGACCTTCACACATGAAGATCTGGAACTATTCACGAAGCTATCGCGTGACCGACACCAGGAACTAAAGTTGGAGCCACTCACACTGGACTCTGTGTTCCTGCGGACGTTCCTGCAGAACCTGGGCAGCGAGCTGAGTCCCGTTGCTGCGTTTTTGGGCGGTTCGCTGGCGCAGGATGTTATTAATGTTCTTTCAGCAAGGGAGCAGCCCCTGCAGAACATGTTGCTGTTTGATGGCGAGAAGAGCGTTGGCCCGATTTATTCCCTTCATCCTTTCTTCCCTGATGATGGAGTGGAGATGGCTGCTGTGCCGCCGGTCCGGAACCCGGTTACGGTTCCTGTTGCTGGGGATTTGTGAGGGAAATTAGGGTTCCAGCTCGGGGATACTCAAAAAGAAGGGCGATAGGTGGTACGGGAATGAATTGGGATATGAGCACCATAACGAATCTCCTTTTTTTTATTCAAAAGATTCCTATAATCCCAGACTTAGATCTGGGTCTTATTATGTACGATAGAACACGAGCAACCATTGACACTTGATAATTGCATGAAATTGGGAATTATGTATAATTTTGTGCAGATATAATATTAGCTACTCAAACTCAAGGCAATTTGGAACCTGCAATGCTTGCAATGCTATTCAAACCGAACCGAACCCAACCAAGACGCCGTCTAACACAATGTCACAAAATGCACGATGTGCTTGCAGAGAGGATCAGCAACTCAATACAAGGCTTCAGTGATGGGTCTCGTCTTTTCCAAGTTCCTCATCACTGTTCTTCCGCGGTCCCATAGAAGGACCTTCCTCATCATCGGAAATCAAGCCATGGAGCTCGAATGCCTCGGCATCTTGGATCTGCTGCGAGTTTGAGCGTGCACGGCCATTTGCGTTTCCGTTGAGAGTGGAGTAAATGGGGCCGTCCTGGTTAGTAGACTCGGAGTTGGGCCAGGCGTGGACGGCATAGATGTGGAGGAGGATGTTGACGACTAGACGAGAAGAATAAGTGGATGTTTTAGAAAAGACAGGTGGGGAGATTAGGGTATCAACTTACAGAGGAAGAGCAGGAAAGCGATGCTGTAGAGGATCAAGACGTAGGCTACGTGGGTGATGCCTGCGTTGTGCAGCAGGAGCATCTGTTCCTCGGTGGCGCCCATGAAGAGGAAGCCGGAGGCATAGAGCAACTGCGAAAGAGAAGGCAAGTTAGTATTATCCTATATATACCGCATCGACCGGAGAGGAGACATACGAAGGGAGTCAGGTATTGGAAGCTGTTCGGCTCGGAAAGAGCAGGCTTATCTCTCAGCACGAACGAGATCTCAATGATGCGGGTCAGACCCGCCGCCATCAAGGTATATCCAAAGAGGGTGTGGACCATAGTACTGATCATCAGATGCTGGGGATGAGCGGACATGGCATAGCCGGTCATCAAGATGACGAGGGCCGGAATGAGGTTACGCTTAGGACGGCCACTGCGGGTACGGCTGAGCCACATACCCAGCAGACCAGCACACCACCAGACAATTCCCATAGTGGTATGCTGGAGGTCATTGTGAACCCAAGGAGTACCCCATCGGTGCTCGGTGAAAGTATTAACACAGCCCCAAGCGGCGATGATGAGCGAATCGAAGAACTCCTGACTGCGGCCGGTACGGCGCAACCAATATTGTCCGACAAGCAAGAGGATCGTCAAACAGATACCATACCCGATGAATGCGGAGCCCATAATGAAATGGGCTAGACACTGGCCGAGATGATCATCGCGACAGAAACCGAGCGAGGCAATGCCGCCGAATAGCATCTGCGCCCAGCTGAGGACGGGCATGACCTTGCCGACGATACCGTGGGCCAGCACGAAGATCCATCGGATGCGAGCCTGGCCCGCCTTCTCCAGGTGTAGTTTGAGATACACTCCAAGGACGACTTGCGCGACGAGCAATAGCATCAGCCAGTTTGCGACTGAGGCGTGCAGGTTCTTATCGAATTGGCGACCTTTGTGGGCGTGGCCGAGGAAGTAGGCTAGCACGGCGATGACGGTGCCGACGACTTGGACGGGGACGTGCCAGCGGGACCGGGTTATCTATTTTCTTTTGTTAGAGATGGATGTGAGGGTAGGGAAGAAACGGAGAGGTAAGTGAAAGTAGTACATACCCCGAGAACCATTCCCGTTGGGAAGATTATGCCAAAAGCCAAACCCATGAGAATCATATGAGTCCATAATGTCGAATCCTGAAATCAACTTGTTAACTTTTTGAGAGGGGAATATGGTTGTAGTACCACGTACGATAGGGTCCTGGGAGATAGATTCGCCTTCAGGAACAGCCTCATGGCCGCCATGGGCGAGAGCCGCAGCAACCAATACAAAGACAGTCCATAAGGACTGACGAAGATATGCCATGGTGTGGTTGGAGTAGGGAGTTGAAAGGGAGAAGAGAACAGATGCGGATAACAGGTAACCCAATCCGGGGCATCCGATTAGGCGGGGCCAACGCGTGGAGTCAGGGCTACAATGTCGTTTTGATCTCCAGGACTTTATTTTTGAGTAGTTAAGTGATGTACAACATAGATATTTTATGATTGAGAACAAGTAACAAAGCTCATAGCGAAATTAGGGACGCGCAAGCAGAAACCTTGGAAGCCTTGGACTGGATTATTCAGCGTGGCTGTGATTGGCCAGGACTATATAATTTCTAGAGCATAAAGTACATGGATAACTTCCCCTTCCAATGCTCTCGTCTGTTGCACCTCACGTATCACCGTATCACAACACATATGCATATGCATCTAATTGCAAACAATCTCCATGGAACCAACCAAAGAAACCAAGTCCAGCGGAGACCAGCAGCGAATAGTACGTCCCTGGTATCCCCCACTCTGCACCCACCCGTGCCCACCATATCAAGAACTAACACCCAACGCAGGCCACCCTTCGTGCTTCGATTGCAAGTCTAGAAGCTAAGCATGCGCAGCTCGAAGCCAACCTGACTTCAGTATCTACTCAGCCCGTGTAAACACTTCCAAGTTCCCCAATTGCATCTTGCAGCTCTAACCACTGCAAAAAGCAGTGACAATCCCAGTACCACCTGCGAGCGGTATACCCAGCTCTTGCACGAGTACAACGATATTAAAGATGTTGGACAGGGGTTGATGGGACTTATTGCTGATGCGAGGGGAGTGAGGCAGATTGAGGTGGAGAAGGAGCTCGGGGTTTCGGAGGAGGACTGAAGGGCTACACTGCAAGGATTCTACTGAGTGAAAGGACTTGAAATGGTTTGAAGTGGTTGACTGAAAAAAAGGTGTTTGGAGCGAAATTGGGTGGCGTTGAATTGAGATTCGTTGTATTCATTCATCTAATCCTACATCCCTAATGGATGTTTTTATTTTTTTTTAAATTATCGAGGGGAGAGGCCCCGGTTTGCAGGGTCTTCGCCGCTGTCAACAAATAATCTATTACAAGAACGGGGAAGGTTCAAAGAGGAGATGCGAGATAGGGGAGGAAATGGCGAGGGAGATGAGATAGGATCAAGAAAGGAACAAGGGGGTATGTATACATGAAAGAGAAGAAAAAAAACCGATAATCAAGATAATCAGCCGGCCCGGCCAAGGGACTGGAGGTTAACCAGCTCGAAGTAGCGACCCTTGTTGCGCAAGAGCTCAGTGTGAGTACCGCTCTCGACAATCTTTCCTTGGTCGAAGACATAGATGATATCGGCCTTCTGAATAGTACTGAGACGGTGAGCAACGGCGATAGTAGTACGACCGCGCGCAGCAGCGTCCAGAGCAGCCTGAACGACCTTCTCAGACTCAGAGTCGAGGGCTGAGGTAGCTTCGTCCAGAAGCAAGACTTTGGGGTTGCGAAGGAGGGCACGGGCGATAGCGACACGCTGCTTTTGGCCACCGGACAACATGCCTCCCTTGCTGCCCACCACGGTACTGAAGCCATCGGGGAGAGACATGATGAAGTCGTAGATGTTGGCATCCTTGCAGACCTGGACCAGGTCTTCTTCGGTGGGTTCGGCGTTGGGGCTACCGAGCAGGATGTTCTCCTTGATGGTACCCTGGTAGAGAGTGGGCTCCTGGCTGACCAGCGCTAGGTGGCTGCGGTAAGAATTGACATTGAGGTCGGCGATGTTCTTGTCATCAATGTAGACACCACCAGAAAGGGCATCGTAGAATCGCTCGAGAAGGGCAATGGTGGTACTCTTGCCGCATCCGCTGGGTCCGACCAGGGCAATGTACTGGCCAGGCTTGACAGTGAGGTTCAAACCGCGGAGCACGGGCTGCTCGGGACGGGTAGGGTAGCGGAAGTGCACGTCCTTGAACTCGACGGTTCCTTCACAGTGGTCCAAATTCTCGCCCTCTTCGGACCATGTGTCAATGGTGGGGCGACGCTCGAACAGCCTAAGGAACTCGGCGGCGGCGTTCTTGGCCTTGCCCATGTCCGGGGAGAAGGAGAACACTGTACCAGCGGATTGGGCACCGAACAAGATCTCGCTGAAGCAGACGAAGAAGCGGAACACGTCGTATTCATGGTGACCGAGCAGGGTTCCACCATACCAGAAGCCGAGGGCGACACAGAAGAAGACCAAGGCCTGAGAGGCTGCATACAAGGACGATGATTTGAATACAGAGATCAAGCTTGTGCGGCCCTGGCGATCGAGTTGATCGTGGTAGAATGCCCAGACATCGGTTTCACGGGTAAGCGAAGCCACAGTGCGAATGGCGGATGTAGCCTCGCAGGCGTAGCTAGCTGATCCCTCATAGGCTACCTTGGAACGCGCCTGGAACGCGGCAAGCATGTAGAAGCGGTAGAAGCCGCAGCCGAGAAGAATCGGAATGACAGACATGCAAACGAGGGCAAGCTTCCATCCGAAAGAAAGCGCGATCACAATTGAAGCAATGAGAGTTGTGGAGGTCATAAGAATTGTTCCGAGAGTTTGGCCACTGATACCGGCCAAGTGCTTGGTCTCAGTGGAAAGGAAAGAAGTCAAAGCACCGGTGCTATTCTCCTCGCGATCGAAGAAGTTTATATCCTGTCGGAGCATGACTCGGAAGGCATTGCCGCGGGCCTTGCGGATCAATCTCTCGGAGCTAAACGCGAAGGCGATACCGTGGACCGAGAAAGTGATGATTTGGACGATACCAACAATGAAGAACATCAGAGACCAAAAGTTGGCATCCGATCTCAGCTTGTCCCATTGGCTTTTGGGCAAGGAAAGTGAGCTGATAGCTTTGGCATACAAGAAGGCTTGCGTGGGTTGACCACAACCGGCGAGAATCGAGAAGCAAAGACCGATGGCCATGAACCATCGTTCTTCCTTGTTAAATGAGCCGATAAACTTGATCAGAGTCAAAAGTGAGTACTTCTTGCTGGCTTCACCAGTCTTCTGCGAGAGAACAACACTGGACACGGACTTGCGAGACTCCTGGCGATGCATGGCGTCCTGGAATGTTTCGGCCTCATCCTTCATACCAGTCGAGCTACTCGCAATTGACTTGACACGAGCAATGTGAGATTTGGACATGTTCTCGATGCTATCCTCATCGTCATCCTCATCCACATCCAAAGCATCTGCGTCCTTCTCCTCATTGATGCGCTGGGCCTCGACGAGCTTGAAGTAGGGACCGTCATGTTCGGTCAGTTTGGCGTGAGAACCCTGCTCAACAATGGATCCGTTGACGAAGACAACAATGTTGTGAGCAGACTTGATAGTGGACAGACGATGGGCAATGACAATGGTGGTGCGGCCCTCGGCAGCGCGATCAAGCGCTGCCTGGACGACACCCTCGGATTTGGTATCGAGGGCAGAAGTGGCTTCATCCAAGAGCAAGATCTTGGGGTCGCTGACCATAGCACGAGCGATGGCAATACGTTGCTTCTGGCCTCCGGACAGCAAGAATCCACGCTGGCCAACGTTGGTTTCATAACCTTCCGGAAGAGCAGTGACGAAGTCGTGAGCGTTGGCCATCTTGGCGGCATTCTCAATAAGCTCCTTGATCTTTTCCTCGGACTCATGCTCGAAGCGTGTTCCAATCAGGCCGTGGCGAATGTTTTGGTAAATGGTTGTGCCGAACAGAACAGGTTCCTGGCTGACCAGCGAAATCTGCTGGCGTAGCCATCGCAGGTTGAGAGTTTGAATGTCGTGACCGTCCAAGAACACTTGACCACCGACTGGAAGGTAGAACCGCTCGACAAGACCGACGACAGTACTCTTGCCAGACCCTGAAGGGCCGACCAAGGCGGTAGCCTTTCCAGCAGGAATGGCGAGGGAAACGTCCTTCATGACTGTAACTTCGGGGCGGGAGGGATAGATGTGTTTCACATTGCGGAACTCGATGTGACCTTCGACGTGGTCAAGGATAATGCCTTCATCAGAAGTGGGGTCTAACGGGGACTCGCGGTCGATGGTTGCAAAGATTTTGGTAGCGGCAGCCACAGCATTGGTGAATGCCGAGGCGTTCGGGCTGACATTGCCCAAGGAGAAAGATCCGATAAGAATAGCCATCAAGATGGTCAAAACGTGGCCAACATCAACCTTCTCTTGCACCAGGAACCGGGAGCCCATCCAGAATCCGAGGCCGTAGTTCATGAACATGAGTCCGAACATGATACCAACCATCACCGCAAGACTCATTTGCAGACGCATGCCCCATCGCTCTGCGCGAAGCAAGTGAGACTCATACTGTTTCGCGAGCTTGTCCTGAGTACCGAATGCGGTCGCATTGCGGATCGAGCTGATGACTTCTTCAGCCACAGTTCCACCAGCACCGGCGCTTTCCAGAGAAAGCTTGCCGTACTTGATGATCAGTTGGGAACCTCCACCCATGATCACGACCAGCGCGACCATAGTTGAAGTACATATGCCAGCCAAGGGAGCATACTTGATATATGCAACCACGAAGGCAGTCACGAAGGTGGCAACGGCGGTCAGGGTTAAACCGACCTTTTCGGAGACACCATCCTGAATCAGGTTGGTGTCGGCTGTGATACGGGTAGTCACTTCACCTGCACCAAGCTTGTCGAAGTAGGCGATGTTCTGGCGCAAGATGGCTTCGAGGTAGTGCTCTCGAATCTTCTGGGTGACGTGCTCTCCGGTGTAGATGAAACCAACGGTGCTAACGTAAACGGTGACGAACTCTCCGATGCCGAGGTAGATAAAGTACAAGACGTTGCTGGTCAACTGGTGGTAGAATTCGTCGTAAGGGATGGTACGGAGCATAATCTTTTGAAAAGCGGTAGCCAAGGAGCCAAAGAGAATGGTGAAGAGGGGCAAGGCAGCACCAGCGGCGATGGCGCAGAGTGCGCTGACGACGATGATGAGAATGTCCATGCGGGAGGCATATCGATAGAGACCGAAGTAAGAGATACTGACGACAGGCGCATCTAGCTGTTGTTTCAGGATATCCTTTTCATGCTCGGGCAAGTGAGCATAGAGAGCATCATCGTCTGTCGCGACTGGAGTCTTGGTTTCGTGTTCCTTTGCTGTTGACGTGGAAGCGGAATCGGAATGGCGCTTGTTGATGGGTTTCTCGTTGAGCTGAGGGTCCTCCACCACCTTTTCCACGGCCGTCACACCGTCCTCGGGCTGCTGCATGTTGAAACTTGGGGGGACGTTTGGATCTCTACTCCATGAAGAACTGAAGATGAGGAATGATCTGAAGGGGTGAGATAAGAGATGAATCCAGGCGCCAGGTACACGTAAGAAATATTAAGGGATGTATAAAAGAGGAATTAGATTAAGAGTAAATGATTAACGAAAGGGGCAAACGAAGGGATGAGAGATCTAAATGTCTTTTTTTCCTACCAGGTTACCAGGTGTTCTTGTTTTAGATCATCCTGGACTTAAGAGGGGCTCGTTTATTTTATTTTATTTTATTATTATTATTATTATTTTTTTTTTGCTCCGGTCGGGTAGCCCGAACTCCGACCTATCTTTATGCAGACAGCAATTGAGCTGCCTATTTGGGTATACAGATTGTAACATGGTCTTATCTTCTATAAAGAACATATGTACAACATACGTGCTAACATGTGTTCAATGTTTCTATACAGGTGAGACTGCACATTCCTACTACATTCCTCAAGGGCATCCCTCGAACGCGCCTCCTTTCTGGGGAACGCGAGTTGGCAGCCACGAGCTGTTTGCTTCTTTACAATGTTTAATGCAGGGTCCATGATTGGCGCATGTGGCAGTTGCACAATCCAGTAGAGCACCGGGTATATCTAAACATCATCATGACGCGAACCCGAAAGCGAACACGACTGACTCATAATCTACGTACCCGTGGATGTATGTTGTACACGAGTTAATGTACAGGGAATATATTAATATATTATTTCGACCGAATTTTGATCCGCAAATACGAAATGCAATTCACCCGGATCTGGACCCCTTGGTGTATCCCACTTTTTTTTTTGATCTGTCGGCAAGTTTCATGTCCGATATCCGACGCTTTGACTCCAACCAAAATTTGTCCTTTTACCTATTTCGTACAAGGGCATTGATTAGTTCAATGTTGCATCCATCTCTCTATCTCTCCATGTCTCCATGTCTGACTGATATAACGTAAAAACACGGAACTTCCCCGGGCCTTGGAAAGTTGGAAGGTGATATGCGACCTCGTATCTATATATCTGTACAACATATAGATCTATTTATCCTAATGTCAAAATTTCACCTTCAATTTGTGCCCACAAACCACCCCAGCCTTTTATCGCAGTGCATTGCTGTCATCTGCTTGATTCGCTCTTCCGGAGAAACAGAAGGGTTTCTTTGAAATCTAGAAACGTGAGTAAACCCCAGCGGACTACTAGCCAATGATCGCCGATAGCTTTTGATTGGAAACAAGTATGTTTCCTGGCCCTAGATCAGGATTATAGAGATGGAACTATCTAGGTGCTGATGAAGACCTTCCCGAAAGAAATAACTCTTGCTCTTAGATACACCTAACAGCTCTAATGAATCCCGTTCCGAGTGAGCAAGGCAAGGCTCTAATACTAGGCCTCTATACACATTCTGGAGTCACCCTAACGTAATAGACGCGAGTATATCGGACAATCCCGCAAGCATCTCTCAGCGTTATACCTAGCACCCTTTTCAACACTAAAAATGATCGATTTCCATCCACCCAGGAATAGATCACTTCAGGTACAGGTACTTGGGGGTGCCTTTGCTTAAACGAATTTGATGGTTTCGCTTTCTGAATTGGTACTAGGGCTTTACGAATGGGCTTTGCAGATAGAATTGTTTCCAATAGCTCATACTGCCAACAATGTGCCTCCTTCATAGATCAAACAGACCTCGTGCAAATTTATGGGAGTATGGGGTAGTTGCCCCGATGTTACGTGCTGAAGAATATACGAATATGCCCCGTCTTTCCAGGCAGCTACACACGTGTCGTCTGGTTCCGCGGTTAGACTGCATTCGATCTTGCAGCCTGGTCCCCTCGGTGGCGGGCCATTTCGTGGCCGATTCTTCACTAGTTATAGCGCCGGTCCGTTCAAGGACAGTGCTGAAGTTCAAGACTGGTTTAATTACAAACTTGATATCTATAAGCACGTGAACCAATATCCTAAAGATATCCCACCATTTCAATTCAGCAAATTTGTCATTACTCATCACGGCATAAGTCCCCGAAACCTGATCTGGGGCCAGGATGGAAAAGTGTGGTTGATTGATTGGGCAGACGCTGGTACATATCTCCCTGCCTTTGAAAATGCTGGCTCAGCAGTTTTTAACTAGCTTCAATGAACCAGTCTTGTCTTTTATTCCACGGTTCCCTAAGGAAGAACGGCAGCTTAACTTAATTCCATATGGGTTGACTACTGCGACATTGGCTTAATGAGATCTTACATGAACCTGTGTCTCTGTGCTACGATTGTTGTATTGCTCCAGTTCCGTAATTTTACTGATGATCAATAATAAAAATTCCTACGAGAATTGCTAGTGCCTGACCAGCTTTATTCACAGCTTACGAGGTTCCGGGTCAACGCCTCCAGAGCTAGCTTGCCTACACCGTAGTATGTTGTACCAGATAGGACATTGCAGGACGCAAGGTTGCATTGGACCTCGAGTATATTTATAACGATCCTAATAGCTACCTGGAATAAGGACTAACCTAAACGAGGAAGCAGGACATATCTATGAAATGTATACCATATACCGGACTACAAAGTTGTGTCGTAGTACCTGCATAATGCCAGCGGCGCATTCATAGTTCCAACCCATGGACCCACTTTTGCGGTTCTTACATCATAATTCATTTCTGCCTTGCCGCCTTACCACCTCAGGCACTCATTCCATATCACCTGACCCAACCGAAGCGAAGCCAAGCCCTGCCGCACACAAACCATCCACACTCGAAGGTCGATAACTTCATCCGTCCATCCAACAAGCTCGCCGTCGCGATCAACCCTTCAAGATGCCGGTATGTTACCACCCTGCTCACGCAATTCTCGAAAAATAATTTCGCCATCGTCGCCGTCTCTCTCCCCAGTCAGACCTCTGAAAAATCGAGAAACAAAATTTTAACCCGTCATTTTCCACACAGAGCCACAAGACCTTCCGCACCAAGCAAAAGCTTGCCAAAGCTCAGCGTCAGAACCGCCCCATCCCCCAGTGGATCCGTCTGCGCACCGGCAACACCATCAGGTAAATCGCACCTTTATTTCGAGATCCAAATACCGTCTTTATATATCCGACCGCCATTTGTGGGAAGAGTGATACGGGGAAGCGAGAGAGGAAAGGGAATATCCACATAACCATCCACCCGCCGACCGCGCGAACCCAACAATGGAGGAAAGAAAAAAAAGAGACAGCTTAACACAAACGAATCGAAACACATGGCTGATACAATACATTTTTCAAACAGATACAACGCCAAGCGCCGACACTGGCGTAAGTCGACCCTGAAGGTCTAAGCGGACCCTCAGTATTCGCACCCTCCGTCCGGCCATTCTCAAAAGCCCCAGTTCAGCTCGCGATGTCATATGGCAACCGAAGTGTGTCTGTGCGGGGTGGTTCAAGGGTTTTTGATTATTTCGAAACCCTCTTCATGATGTGACGCCCACAACCGAATTTCGAACAACATGCCTTCACCATGAACTTGAGAGCGCTAGTGGATTGTGGAACTACTCTTGAGTGCAATTGCAAACAAAAAATTCAATTATCAAATCTTGATCCGGGTCTTGTTTTGGGTCGTGTCTATCTTTTTTTTTTCTTAATCTTCCAATGGGTCGTCATTTTTTTCTCCACGGTTCCGAGTGGGGATATGATGAATTTCCAACACGCCTAATTTATCGATATGGATGGCAGGCCCGGATTATGTTTGCAAAAGGTTCTGTTGCTGTTGGGGGCTGATCGTCTTCTTACTGGGGGCGGGCTTGTAGGACTGGCGTGGCGGGGGATTTTCTTTTTTGATACAAAATCTGATTGAATCGAATTGAATATCCTTTTGCCTACTTTTTGGGATGTTCTTGATGGCCGTAGATTTTCATTGGGACATTGCATTTGGAACATTTCCATGTTGTCTGTTCCTGGTGGTGTTACTGTTTGTATCACGCTTTGTAGTACACATTTGGATCTGCATTTTATATGCTACATTACTTTTACAACTTGGCGTTGTCGTCATAGTAGAAATATGAGCCAGGGTCGGTTTTATGACCCCGCTATCCAATGCTACTGGGTTCAGGAGGATTCTGTAACAAATGTCATTTGCAAGGCTAGCGATTTTTTTCAAAATCTAATCAAACCTTAGAAGAAAAATAGCAAAGTAACGCCCCTAAAAAAAAAAATCACCCTGCTAGACATCAAGGGCTACGCTGCACATTGTCGTAAGCAGCCGGGAGGATATCATTTTCTGTTTTTAGAAAAAAAAGCAACATACACAACATCATCATTCAACGACTAAAGTGAAAATGTCAGCATAAATTCTATCGAAGGATAATGTTGCAGCAACTTACTCCTCAGCCCACTCGTTCTCGCGGCGGATCTGGTCTTCCTCCTCAGGAGTGAAGTCATTCTGGATGTTGAAAGTCTTACGAATCTCCTCTGGGGACTTGCCCTTGATCATGTTAGCGACGGTCTTGCAGCCGACGTCGAGGAGGGCCTTAATGTCCAAGTAGTTGGCAGCCTAGGAGAAGTCAGTATGTGCGTCGAAGAGCAAGTCTGAAAACGAAACGTACGAGGATGATCTCAAAGAGCATCTCCTGGTCAACCTGCATAAACTTCTGATCCCACTCATCAATATCGGTGGTCTTGCGACGGTTGTCGTCGTCATCGCTGGCACTGGGGGGGTCGTTCTTGTGGTGTTCGCACCACTCGATGACCTTCTTAAGAACGGCCTCGTTAACCTGAACAAAGAAGTGTAAGCGACTAGTCTTGGATGCTGAATATCTCGGGATAGACACTCACGTTGGGAATGGGGATAGCCTCTCCAGAGTCGCCCAGATCCTCAAGCATGTTCTTGATCAACACGGACCGCTCAGCAGTAGTGCGCTCTGTTTGGAATAAGTCAGCGCCACCGGCAACAGCATCCTGCGTGGAGGTTATGCTTACCAACAGAAATGTCGACTCCATCGGAGCTAGTGAGGGTGATAGCACTCATGGTAAAGATGGAGATGGAATCTAATGTTCGAGTGAGGTTAGCTTTGCTGGTCGCTGTCGAATAGTGCGGGGCGGTTCAGTGGTGGGGGATATTACTGTTGAAAAGATGTAATAGATTTGTGATATCGAGATCTAGTTTTCAGAGAGGTAGTATGTCTGAAGAAAGTAGTTGAAGGTTGAAAATGACGGGGATGTAACGAGTAGATGGCGGGTGATGAGGTTTATGAGGTTCTGGGTTACCAAAGGCGGTATCCGTGGATTAGGCCAACAAGGCTCCAAAGCCAGCCCCCACGTCTAAGTTTCTCCCGTTGCCTAAAATATAACAAACCAATCTTGGTTTGACTCATTATTTTACTTCAAAGAACCCTTTGGAATGAGAGACCGACCAGAAACGTACTAGTAGCCAATTCTAAGGCTAGCTTGGGAACAAACAATCGGGGGAACTTAGGATGCTGCCTGCAAGCAGCCCTGGTTTAACTCTGGAAGCCTGTGTAGACAGTGGCTGAAACAAGAATCTGGATATGTTTAATTGCAACTCGGTCATTTTGGGAAATATATAACTAGTTAACTATTCTGTTTGAATTATATCATTCTTTGTCAGATTGTCGATCTATCAACTCTGGTATCTCGTATGGAGTAGTATACGAGAACTATACCACAACAGATGTATCAATCACATTAACAAAGAGTTTGATGTATGCGGATACATCCATAGATATATGTATATGTACTGAAAATAATATACTAAAATATCATACGAATACATTGTATAGTATGTCCTTTATAGTAGACTGATCTATCGCACTCTTCAATTTACCGCTTAACGCGAAGCCAGTGATATCATTGTCCAATACGCGTTTACTTCCCTTCTTCCTAGCCCATCCCCTTCCACTCCTTTCTTTCACTTCATTCCTTACCATTTTTCATTCTTTAATTCCTTCTAATAATGTCCCCGGGTTTCTCTAACCATGTGGCGTCGAACATATTTACTATTATTGGCAATTCGCGTCTACTTCGCGCTGTCGCCAAGCTATCTACATCCTGATGAGAATTTCCAAGGCCCAGAGCTTTTTGCAGGTGTGTTCAACTATCCAATGATCGCTTGACAAATCGCAATACTGCGACTGCGCCAACACGTGGAAATCTTTGTTACGATTTTTCCCAAAGTGAAAAAAAAAGCGCGATCCGGCAGTGCCACGACTCCCCTATACAAAGGGGAAGAATAATATTGACCAAAATCGCCTACATGCAGGTCGCATATTCTCATTTCCTTCAAAGCTACCATGGGAGTTTACCGTTGAACACCCCATCCGCAGCATATTCCCATTATGGGCGACTTACGAGCTTCCAATGAGCCTCTTGAAATGGTTCTATACTGAGATCGGGTCCGGTAGTCCTCCACCCCACTTGGTTTACTATGCGCTGCGCGGTGGAATGTTTCTGTTAAGTTTTATACTGGAGGACTGGGCGATCTATGAGCTAGTGCCTTCCCCGCGTCATCGGCGCGCAACAGTGGTGCTAGTGGCCTCGTCGTATGTCACCTGGACATATCAGACGCACACATTCTCCAACAGCCTCGAGACCCTGTTGGTTGCCTGGGGGTTGGTTCTGATTCGGCGCATTGTCGAGAATAAGGTGCGAGAGATAAAGCTTCGAAGCACACAATTCGCGCTAACTTCACACCCAGCGACACTCGTCCTTCTTCTCCCACGCCGTGCTTGCCTTCATCGCCGTGGTGGGTGTCTTCAACCGCATCACTTTCCCGGCTTTCCTTCTATTCCCGGGCCTGCAATTGCTACCTCAGTTCCAGCGCAAGTACGTCAATCTGCATACACTTCGCCTCCAACTCTAACCAATACACATGTGCTAACCCCGCGTTCGCACCAGACCACTCTCGCTCGCAGTATTCCTCCTCTTCGGCCTTTTCTTTTCCTTTATCGCAGTCTACGCAGACACGACCTTCTACCGGCCGACATCGTCCCTCCTCGGCATCATCCGCGACCCCATAATAACCCCCCTCAACAACCTTATCTACAACACCGACACTTCTAACTTAGCCCAACACGGCCTCCACCCCCACCACCAACACTTCACCGCAAACCTGCTCCAACTCCTCGGCCCAGCCTACATAGCTATGCTAGTATCCCTCTTCAGCTGGCCACTGGTGCCGTACTGGATGCGCAATGTGCGTGCACTCTCCGCGCTCTCTGCAACGATGCTCCTCTCCCTCTTCCCACACCAAGAACCACGCTTCCTCCTCCCAGCCGTGCCCCTCCTCCTCAGCTGTGTCCCCATGCGCCGCTCCCGTCTCCTCCTCGTCGTGTGGGTCATCTTCAACGCAGCCATGGGCTTCCTCATGGGCGTGTACCACCAAGGCGGCGTCGTCCCGACGCAGCTAGCGATGCGCGACATTGTCTCGTCCAGCACAACACACCGCATACCTTCCGCGACGGTGTTCTGGTGGAAGACATACTCACCGCCGCTGTGGCTTCTCGGTGGTGACAACCAGACCACAGAGATCCAGACGCAGGATCTCATGGGGATGTCAGGTGTGGAGATGATGTTGCAGCTGGAGCAGGTTGTACCTAGCTGCTCGAATCCATCGTCTGTATTCCTGGTCGCGCCTACATCGGCTGCTTTCCTTGATGACTATGCTGTATCTGCGCATCAGAGCCGAGGTCAGAACTTACAACTTCATCCACTTTGGTCGTATCGCAAACACCTTAACCTGGACGACATGGACTTCGGTGATGATGGGATCCTGCCGACTCTGAAACGGGTCGTTGGGCGCCGTGGACTGGGTGTTTGGTCTGTGAGGAGATCTTGCAAATAAGTTTTACTTCTGTTTCTACTTGTTCATGGATGGTACTATGTTCTACATTCATGGATGGGTCGTTGTATTGTGTTCATCTGTATTTGGGACCTACACTCTCATTTGAATTTGAACTGCAATCTCACTTTTTTTTTATGAATATTTTCGGTGCATGTTAGGGTTACCGGGTCCATAAGATACCTTTTGCATTGGGGGATGGGCGTGAATCGAGTTGATATCCTTGGGTTCTAGTCTATTGTACTTAGCTCTACCTACATCTAAGTAGTACTAGCGCAATTTATTGATTGACTTTTTATTCCCGTCTAGACTGGTCAGCTGGGTTATGGTCTTGGGACGCTACTCGATTCGAATACATATCTACGATGTATGGATCTACCATAGGGCAAAAAGACATAAAAAGGCGACTAAAGAGGCAAGCTTTAGAACGATATCTGATAAGGGACGATAAGGGCTATATACATCAACTTGAGGCCGGGCCACGACATACTAAATGCTGTGTGGGGACCTCGGGATCTATTGCTCTGATTTGGGCGGTCTTCGTGGTCCCAAGTCTCAGGTGGAGGTGAGGATATAGACTTCTCCAATCATGCAGATACATTCCAGCCATTCGCAGGTCATCTGCATATGTGTCTGCCTGCATATAAAACACGCGTGACCACCAATGAAAATCACCCCATGACAGATGACCGGATCGAAGATCGCCACTTATCCCAGCTACAGTCTTACACAACTACTCATATACTGTATGTGCAGCGAACAGGTCCCATTTTGC